TCTCTCTCTCTCTCTCTCTCTCTCTCTCTCTCTCTCTCTCTCTCTCTCTCTCTCTCTCTCCCTCCCTCTCTCTTTGATCAGTCGTATTTCCAACATATCACCTGACATTGGATACTTGTCTGGCTTGTTTTGCTGATGCAGGTGGTTCTTGCTCCATGTCCCCATGCATCTGGCACGGAAACCGCATTTGTGCAATCATTCAAAGAAGTCGACCGCTGCCAGGTAATGTCTATTTAGAAAGCTGTTTGTTTGTTTGAGAGAGAGAGAGAGAGAGAGAGAGAGAGAGAGAGAGAGAGAGAGAGAGAGAGAGAGAGAGCCGGATGGTGTCTGGATAATAGAGATCCAGGTGTGCGGATGTGGCGGACGTATGAGTATGTCGTAGCCATACAACTTACCGGACAAACAGTTAGAATCAACGTCTGCTGCAACTTCATTGCCCGAGGCTGTGCAAGTCTAGTACAGTCATTAGCCGGATGGATGGCTGTCAGGTAGTTCTATTCTACGCTACGCTACTCTACTCTATCCAGGCCTGCGGGGTGTACAGGGCCCCTCGAATGTGATGCATGGAGTCACCATCGGTAGGACCTGAGGCCTGTGGTCTGACCCCCCACCAACTTGGAATTCGAATTCAAAATAGTGAGGACTCAAAAGGGGTAGAAATTCCAGCAACAATTAAAAGGACAATTTTTTTAGCCTTGAAAACTGTGATGCTGTCCAGTTTGTCATGTCACACGATGGCCCACGCCTGCCGTCTTCACCCGAAGAGAACGCCCAGTCATAATTGCTGTATTTGCGGCAACTTCCAGTCCAGATGCAGCGATAATGACTGGGCATTATTCTATACGGGTTCAAATGGTAGAGCTCCAACGAATCTACGACGACTGCACTGAGGGGTAGGCCGTATGGCGCTAGGCTCATTCTAAGAAAGCATGAATGTTGCCATTCTCACAACCAGGTTCATGCTGTCTAAGCACAAACATAGCCCCCGCGGGGCTTGTTCCTGAAGACTCCCACACCATTGCACCATGGTCTGTTCTATCGCTTGACTGTGTACCAACCTTGCAGAGCCCTCTATTTTATTTTTTTTTTGGAAAAGCCCAGGATTGCATCCCTGCCAACCGCCGACCGTATTGCAGCCTGCCAGTAGGGCCACGGTAAAAAAAAAAAAAAAAAAAACATCCACTGATTAAAGTCTGATTTCTTTTCAAATCTGAGTTGGGGGCTGTACTGCGCTTGCTTAGTACAGCCCAAATCCGCTGACTTTTGGGGATGGGGGAGGGTATGGGGGGGTTGGGGTTGGAATATAGGGGAGGTATAGGGGTGATATAGGGGGTATTGGGGGGGGCAATGAGGGTGTTGGTGGCGGTTTGAGGGTGTTGGGGGGGTGTATGGGGGCCTCACGCAGCATGTGCCCAGGGCTCAACCACCTGAGCCCTGGGCTCAACTGTACAGCGCAGCCGTTGCTTCTGGAAAGAGCCTGGAGGCTCACGTTGCTCTGTAACCAACTGGCGTGCTTCAACTGTCTGAATCCCCACATATGGCAAAATGACAAGAACAGGCCTCTCGTAAATATTTAGGCCCGCCTTCACTCAGGGCGGGCACAGGTTTGTTAGGGGCCGTAGCTCAGAACACTTTTATGTCTGATAAGCGGCCCACGAGGGTGTATGTGTTTGGTGGCTGAATGGTGAGCAGATGCTAGCAGTTGATAAACAGATCATGAGCTCAAACTTCAAATCCTTCCAGTAATTGAATAATGTTAAGAGCCTACCTTAGCCGCTTGCGAAAAGAAAAAAGGGATGATATTTCGTAAAACCATCAGTGTTCTTTTCCCAGCCATTTTCTTCCGACGAGGCCGTTAACACGCATCTCGCTTCCTTCAGCGCATGGCCTACAAGACCAAAATGCCTGGTGGGGTGTTACGTGCTGCGCCGGGTATGTAACATGGGACCATGCAAAAAAAAAAGAAAAAAAAAAAGTGCACCTTCGCCGGTTCTTTTGTTCATTTTGCACGCAGCACAAATCTGTGTTGTGGAAAAGAGTGCCGGAAGTACTGGTGGGTGAACAGTGAACACACTTGGGGGTGTACATCAAAATGAAGACATGTGGATACTGTCGGTTGGGATCCCAATTCCTAGATGGTTCTGTGGTCTGGTTCTGCACAGGGGTTTCTTTGTTTTTCTGTTCCCTTTCCACCCCCTCTGCCCTGTGCAACCTCGCTTTTTACTTCTGCTTAAATGTCTCTGGTGTAGGCGTGTCTTTTGTGGCGGGGGAGAGCTGGGGCGGGGGTGTGGGGGGGG